TGCACTTACCTGCATCCAAAATGGGCTGTGTGGGGACTCCTGGGAGGGGCGGGGCGGGGCGGGGTGGGCAAGGCCAGCCAGGAGTGGGATTTGGGGGTTCTCGGAACTGCACAGAATCTTAGCTAGAGGTTCTCCCGAACCCTTGCGAAGCCCCCAGCAGCCCACCCCTGGATGTTACCCTCTAGTTCTTTTATTCCCTAGACTAAACATTTTATTGTAGAATAAATGCATTGACAGAGAAGTTTTAGAAAGTCTATGAGCTCGTTCACTGTACCAAGGAACTGGAACATAACACAACACAACACAACACAACACAACACAACACAACATAAGAAAAACAAGAGTTGGAAGGGACCTTGGAGGTTTTCTAGTCCAAGGTTGTTAAGAAAGTTTCTAGTCCCAATTGTTATTATAAGTCGAGGGCTATCTGTACAGGTAGTCCTCGACTTACGACAATTCATTTAGTGACCGGTCAAAAACACAACAGCATTGGAAAAAGTGACATATGGCCATTTTTCACACTTAGACCTTTGGTCATGCGATCCAAATTCAGACCCTTGGCAACTGTCTCATATTTATGACGGACGCGGCATCCCGATTCCCTTTTGCGACCTTCCAACAAGCAGAGTTCAATGGGGAAGCCAGGTTCGCTCAACAACTGTGTTACTGACCTAAAAACTGCCATGATTCAGCGGCAAGAACGGTGGCAAAACCCACTTAACCAACGTCTCACTTAGCCACAGAAATTTGGGGCTCAATTGTGGTCGTAAATCAAGGACCGCCTGTATATTTTTCTGAATGCAAATCCAAGTAAACAAAACATAGCTTTGATAATTGGCCTTACCTCACCTCCCTGCCAGGCCTTCCTTCTGAAAACAAGCTGTCCTGATTTTACACCTTCAACGCAAACATCTGTTGAGTTCGGAAATAATGCTGGCTTTTAGCTGGATGTTTCTCTGCCTAATAACTTTGCATCTTCTGCCTGGAGTGTTTATTTTTCAATGTGCTGTGTTGATATTTTCATCTCTCTCTCTCTCTTTTTTTTTTTTATAATTAATTGGAGTTTACCAAACAGGCTGATGGGAGCCTCGGTCGGGATATTTTTCTTCAGTTTTGTCTATTTTATAAAGCGAGGCCAGGTGCCAAAGAGGACAAGGATTTCTGGAAGCCAGGTAGAGCTGTGAAATTGTCTCTTCCGCAAAAGCCATTATTAAAGTCGCCAAAGAAACGGTTGTTTCCTTCTGCAAACTATTATTCTGTTTCAAAAGGAAGCAGAACGGATTGATCTCGCTCTAAAGTGCTTTTACGGATCGCGGCACGTACGACGTGGCTTTCGCTCTTCCGAACAATTTGAAAATAGGCAATGGATCTTTTTCTTGGTGCCTCTTGGACAAAATACCCCTATAGGAAATGTATGTAGTTTTTTAGATTGCAATGGTCGGGGTTTTTCAGAATTCTGGGAGTTGAATTCCACACATCTTCAAGTTCCCAAGTTTTAAAAAAAACATGGATTTAGTCTGTTTTTTAGTCCGGGTCCTCATTTTACCTACCTCGGAAGGATGGAAGGCTGAGGCAACCTTGAGCCTGGTGAGATTTGAACTCACAGTAATTGCAGGCAGCTGGCAGCTAAGTGCTACTTTAACAGCGCTTTAGTCCGCTGCACCACCAAGGCTCTGAAGAACGGTTGCAGGAATTGGGTATGGTAGTCTAGAGAAAAGAAGGACTGGGGGGGGACATAATAGCAGAGTTCCAGTATTTGGGGGGCTGCCACAAAAAAGAGGGGGTTGATTTATTCTCCAAAGCACCAGAAGGCAGAATAAGAAACAAGGGATGGAAACTAATCAAGGAGAGAAGCAACCTGGAATTAAGGAGAAACTTCCTAAACTGTGAGGACAATTAACCAGTGGATCAGCTTCCCTCCAGAAGTTGTGGATGTTCCATCACTGGAGGATTTTAAGAAGAGACTGGACAGCCATATGACTGAAATGGAAGCAGGGTCTCCTGCTTGGGCAGGGGGCTGGACTAGAAGACCTCCAAGGTCCCTTCCAGCTCTTTTCTGATCGAAAGTCCTTTTGTTTCAGGTTATAGAATAGAATAGAAATAGAATAGAATAGAATAGAAATAGAATAGAATAGAATAGAATAGAATAGAATAGAATAGAATAGAATAGAATAGAATAGACTTCTTTATTGGCCACACAAGGGATTTTTCTTTGGTGCCTACGCTCTCAGTGTACATAAAAAGACAAGATACGTTCATCAAGAATCATAAGGTACAACACTTAATGATAGTCATAGGGTACAAGAAGAGGAGAGGAGAGGAGAAGAGAAGAGAAGAGAAGAGAAGAGAGGAGAGGAGAGGAGAGGAGAAGGGAAGGGAAGAGAAGAGAAGAGAAGAGAAGAGAAGAGAAGAGAAGAGAAGAGAAGAGAAGAGAAGAGAAGAGAAGAGAAGAGAAGAGAAGAGAATTCTTTATTGGCCAAGTGTGATTGGACACACAAGGGATTTTTCTTTGGTGCCTACGCTCTCAGTGTACATAAAAAGACAAGATACGTTCATCAAGAATCATAAGGTACAACACTTAATGATAGTCATAGGGTACAAGAAGAGGAGAGGAGAGGAGAGGAGAAGAGAAGAGAAGAGAAGAGAGGAGAGGAGAGGAGAGGAGAGGAGAAGGGAAGGGAAGAGAAGAGAAGAGAAGAGAAGAGAAGAGAAGAGAAGAGAAGAGAAGAGAAGAGAAGAGAAGAGAAGAGAAGAGAAGAGAAGAGAAGAGAAGAGAATTCTTTATTGGCCAAGTGTGATTGGACACACAAGGGACTTGTCTTTGGTGCCTACGCTCTCAGTGTACATAAAAAGACAAGATACGTTCATCAAGAATCATAAGGTACAACACTTAATGATAGTCATAGGGTACAAGAAGAGGAGAGGAGAGGAGAGGAGAGGAGAAGAGAAGAGAAGAGAAGAGAAGAGAGGAGAGGAGAGGAGAGGAGAGGAGAAGGGAAGGGAAGGGAAGGGAAGGGAAGAGAAGAGAAGAGAAGAGAAGAGAAGAGAAGAGAAGAGAAGAGAAGAGAAGAGAAGAGAAGAGAAGAGAAGAGAAGAGAAGAGAAGAGAATTCTTTATTGGCCAAGTGTGATTGGACACACAAGGGACTTGTCTTTGGTGCCTACGCTCTCAGCGTACATAAAAAGACAAGATACGTTCATCAAGAATCATAAGGTACAACACTTAATGATAGTCATAGGGTACAAGAAGAGAAGAGGAGAGGAGAGGAGAAGAGAAGAGAAGAGAGGAGAGGAGAGGAGAGGAGAGGAGAGGAGAAGGGAAGAGAAGAGAAGAGAAGAGAAGAGAAGAGAAGAGAAGAGAATTCTTTATTGGCCAAGTGTGATTGGACACACAAGGGACTTGTCTTTGGTGCCTACGCTCTCAGTGTACATAAAAAGACAAGATACATTCGTCAAGAATCATAAGGTACAACACTTAATGATAGTCATAGGGTACAAGCTCTTGTACCTCTGACTTTAACCCCTGATTGGCGGTTGGCCTTATTTAAGTCAAATAAAGAGAAGTGAGGTGTGGGACATGTTCAGTCCTGAGTTCTTCTCCTTGTTTCTTTGTTTCTTTTTCTTTTTTTAAAAAAAGAGGTCTATAGAAACCATCCAAACAGACCCAACAACGTCCAGCCGAAGCAGTTGATGACAAAACCCAGCACCGACCTGAAAGTTACCCCCTTCGCCCCGACCTCGCACTTTTCACCCCCTTGATTTTGGGGCAAGGCGAGAGAGGAAAGGAGGCAGCCCAAGGCGCTGTGGCTTCTAGTCTCGCTTTAGGCACACAAAGCCAGCTCGGTCGCCTTTAGGCCAGCCACTCTGCCTTAATCCCCCAAAAGGATGCAATGGCAAATCACTTTTAAAAACTCTAGCCGAAAGCGGGGGGAAAAAGGGATGTTTTGGAGAGCTGGAGGGAGCCCAGAGTTGGAGAGACGCCAGCCACTCTGCCTTAATCCCCCAAAAGGATGCAATGGCAAACCACTTTTAAAAACTCCAGCCAAAAAAAGAAGAAGAAGAAGAAGAAGAAAAAGAAAGAAGGGATGTTTTGAAGGGAGCCCAGAGTTGGAGAGCCTTCTGATCCAGGTCTGGAGGCGCGGTGGCATCACTCCGGATCCAAGGACCGGCTCGCAGGGCGGCTCCTTTAGCCCGGGACCCCCGCAAGGCGAGCCCACCTGCCCTTTCCATTTTCCTGCAGCGCTGGGGTCCCCGGTGGAAGCCCCCCCCTCCAACCTCCTCCGCCAAGATGCACCATCCCCTGCGCGCCTCCCTGGCTGGCTGCCTCTTAGCTCGGCGAGGAGCTGACCTACTTTCCGTGCCAGGCTCTCCAGCGCCGACGGGAACGCGCGCGCGCGCTCCCGCCAAGCCCGTAGGACGCGCCCGGGTCTTCCCTCCCCGACTCCAGCAGCATCAGCGCCCCTTCCTCCCTTCTTCCTTCCTTCCATCCCAGACTCCCCAGACCCGGCCGGGGGGCGCACCAAACTCTCCGGCCATCCCTTCTCTCCGCGCGCCCCGCAGCCGCAGCCGCCGCAGGATGGGGCGCAAGGCGAGTCTTCCCCGCCCCGCGTGCCCGCGCCTCCGCCTGGCCCGGGCGGGGATGCCTCGGATGGGAGGGAAGAAGGGAGGGAGGGAGGGAGGGAGGGAAGGAAAGAAGGAGGAGGAGGGAGGGAGAGAGGGAAGGAAAGAGGGAGGGAAGGAAAGGAGGAGGAGGAGGGAGGGAGGGAAGGAAAGAGGGAGGAGGAGGGAGGGAGGGAAGGAAAGAGGGAGGAGGAGGGAGGGAGGGAAGGAAAGAGGGAGGGAAGGAAAGGAGGAGGAGGAGGGAGGGAGGGAAGGAAAGAGGGAGGAGGAGGGAGGGAGGGAAGGAAAGAAGGAGGAGGAGGGAGGGAGGGAAGGAAAGAGGGAGGGAAGGAGGGAGGGCTAAACTCCAGCCGCGGTTCGCGGAGTTACACAACCCGTTCGGGGGCAGATCGCGCGCGGCCGCTGCGAGTTTTCTTAAATCGATCCCCGGCTCTGCGCTTGGCCGGGCATCTGCTGGCCGATCCATCGGACTTTTCCTTTTCCCAAAGTTTCCTTGGGCTACTTTTTGCATTTCCCTTTGGCTTTGGCTGGCGTTTTTGGTCCTTCTTCGGAGTTTGTCTTCCTTTGGTGGTTTGCCTTGGGGAAGAGAGAAATCACTGGGGAAGCCGGAGGGAAGTCGCGATGAGGGTCCGTTGGGGTTTCCCGAAGCTGAGCTCGGCGTCGGAAGCTCCCGTCCTGGATGACCCGTCTCCCTAGGGGGAAAGAAGCCCGCCGAAGGTCCGGCTGGCACCTGAAAGGGCCAAGCGACGTTTTTCAGCCTTCTTCTTCTTCTTCTTCTTCTCCTGGCTGGGCTCCGAAAGTCAAGCCCGAAATCGTGGCCCGGAGCTTCGTGCACCGCTCGGCCGGCGCCGGGAGCGAATCTGGAGATGCCAGGTAGGCAGGTGGGTCCTTGGTGGCGAGCAGATGGCATCGGGGAAAGCAAAACACGACCCACTCACTCCGAATGTCCCCAAAGGGCTTCCAAACAAAACAAAACAAAACAAAACAAAACAAAAACTTGGACTTTCTTGGTTTCTTTTCTTTTTCCCCCCCTTTTGAAAACCTTTCGCTTCTCATCCAGGAAGCTTCTTCGGTTCTAACTTCAGAACTTTTAAGAAGAGACTGGATAACCATTTGTCTGAAATGGTGTAGGGTCTCCTGTCTAAGCGGGGGGTTGGACTAGACTAGAAGATCTCCAAGGTCCCTTCCAACATCTTCTCTCTCTCTTCTCTTCTCTTCTCTTCTCTTCTCTTCTCTTCTCTCTCTTCTCTTCTCTTCTCTTCTCTCCTCTCCTCTCCTCTCCTCTCCTCTCCTCTCCTCTCCCCCCCCTCCCCTCTCTTCTCTTCTCTCTTCTCTTCTTTTCTCTTCCCTTCATTTCTATTTCTATTTCTACTTCTACTTCTATTTCTATTTCTATTTCTATTTCTATTTCTATTTCTCTTCCTCTTCTCTTCTCTTCTCTTCTCTTCTCTTCTCTTCTCTTCTCTTCTCTCCTCTCCTCTCCTCTCCTCTCCTCTCCTCTCCTCTCCTCTCCTCTCCCCTCCCCTCCCCTCTCTTCTCTCTTCTCTTCTTTTCTCTTCCCTTCATTTCTATTTCTATTTCTATTTCTATTTCTATTCCTCTTCTCTTCTCTTCTCTTCTCTTCTCTTCTCTTCTCTTCTCTTCTCTTCTCTTCTCTTCTCTTCTCTTCTCCTCTCCTCTCCTCTCCTCTCCTCTCCTCTCCCCACCCCTCCCCTCCCCTCTCTTCTCTTCTCTTCTCTCTTCTCTTCCCTTCATTTCTATTTCTATTTCTATTTTTATTTCTCTTCCTCTCCTCTCCTCTCCTCTCCTCTCTTCTCCTCTTCCTTGGATGAGAAGCCAAATGTTTTCAAAGAAGAAAAAAACAACCCAATCAAGTCCAGTTGCCTTTTGGGGAAAAAAGAAACATCTTTGGGACAACCTTTACCTGGATAATTGAGAACCTCCATAGACAATCACCAAAGTAAGGGGGCTTGAGCAGGGGGCTGGATTAGGGTTAGGGTTGGGGTTAGAGTAGGGGGGCTGGACTAGAAGACCTCCAAGGTCCCTTCCCGCTCTATTCTGATTGATTCTTGGTTGTGATTCTTGGCACCCTCCGTGCTTCGTAGTGGCTATTTTCCTTCTTTTGAACTCCTCGGGAATAATTTATTGTCCAGGATTACGAACATGAGTAATTTAGTGGTTATGCTCTGAAGGCTTCAACTATTTCCCACCGAAAGAAAACCTCCAGGATTTCTATAAGGAATCCAGAAATAAATCCACTCTGAGTTCATCCGACTGGCCAAATCAGAAGTCAAGAACAGCGTGGAGATATTTTTAGGTCAGCTGGGAGGGATAACGGGGGTTGGAGGGTGTTTCCCCAGGTAGGTTTTCATTCTGGAGCTGATCTGAACCTAGAACACGAAGCATCTCAAAGAACGCTCTGTTCTTCTGTGGAGTTTTGCATGAGCAAGTGAGGAAAGTAATTCTGAATTTTAGAAGATGTTGGAGACCACAAAACATCTTAAAACATCACAAAGAGCCTTGGTGGCGCAGCAGACTAAAGTGCTGTTAAGTAACACCAGCTGCCTGCAATTACTGCGAGTTCAAATCTCACCAGGCTCAAGGTTGACTCAGCCTTCCATCCTTTCGAGGTAGGTAAAATGAGGACCCGGATTGTGGGGGGCAATAAGCTGACTTTGTATAAAAATAGAACACTGCTTAGGGGGGACCAAAAACCCTACTAAGCAGATATATACAAAAGTATGAAGGTTATTGCTTAACGCATTGTAAGCCGCCCTGAGTCTCCGGAGAAGGGCGGCATGTAAATCGAACCAATAAATAAATAAATAAATGAAAGAAGCTTTTGGACTTTCTACTCTGCCTCCATTGCTGCAGATGTGATTGGCTTTTAGGATGCGATTTACGGACAGAAATTCACTTGGATGGTAGTCTAGTGAAGAGAAGGACCAGGGGAGACAGGAGAGCATCTTCCAATATTTGAGGGGCTGTCACAGAGAGGAGGGGGTCAAGCTATTTTCCAAAGCACCTGAAGGCCAGACAAGGAATCATGGATGGAAACTAACCAAGGAGAGATTCAACCTGGAAATGAGGAGAAATTTTCTGAGAGTGAGAACAATCACCCCATGGAACAGAAGTTGCCTTTGGAAGTTGTGGGAGCTTCATCACTGGAAGCTTTCCAGAAGAAACTGGACTGCCATCTGTCAGAAATGGTGTAGGGTCTTTTGTTTGGGCGGGGGGTTGGACTAGATGACCCACAAGGTCCCTTCCAACTCTGTTAATCTGTGAATGTTCTGACGTGACAGTTGGAGCTACCTGTCCCTCTAAAGACAGACGCTAGGATGAAAAAAAAATTTTTTTTACTGCTCCCAACCTCATTTCATATACCTGTTTGTAAACACCAAACCGCTGGAAGCTTTAAATAGGTGTCGTCCTTCCAGCTGGCTTAGGAACTGGTTGGGAGCACACAGCGTGCATTGATTGAACCCGATACCTTGGCTGATTATTGGCTGACCAAAATTGTTGATCAATTTTTCTTTTCTTTTCTTTTTTTTTCTTCCCTGGGTGGTGTTCAGAGGGTGTGATGAGGTTGTGCCCAGGTGACTCACGGGGGTGTCATCCTAACCAAGATCTTCCCTGGGGAACCCATCCTAATTGATATGACATTGTATGAATGTCAGATCAAGAGCTGTCAAAGTTGCAATTGTTGTTGTTGTTGTTAACAAGTTTATTTGTATATTTTCCACATTACATACATCAGTCTTTAGCGAACAGTGTATCATCTGGATTATTTTATTTATATCTAACAATACTTTTCCCTCTCCTAATTTCTACCTCTACTATCCAATCATTTGTAAAGCAAGTTCGAAAATACTCTGTGTCTTCTTTTTCTTGTAATTTTAGGGTCGGTTTATCCATTTCTGCACAATCTAATTTGTTTTTTTTAAATTACAGCTTCTTCTGTAGATGTTTCCTCATTTTTCCAGTACTGTGCATATACAATTCTTGCTGCTGTCAAAACATGTCATATTAAATATAGATTCCCTTTATCATACTTTTCCGGTATTATGCCTAACAAAAAAAATATTTCCATCTTATAATCTATATGCTTCAATTCTGAAGCACCATAAATGGGGGAAGAAGGGAATTCTAGAGGGAATTGTAAAAGGAGAAGATGGTTTGGGTAGGCCCGCCAAAAGTACAGGCAGTCCTCGGCGTACGACCACAAGAGAGCCCAACATTTCTGTTGCTAAGTGAAATGTTTGCTAAGTGAGTTTTGTTCCATTTTACGACCGTTCCTGCTACGGTCGTTAAGTGAATCTGGCTTCCCCGTTGACTTGGCTTGTCAGAAGGTTGCAAAAGGGGATAAAGAACACGGCAACTGTCGTAAATGTGTCAACTGCCACGCCTCTCAATTTTGATCATGTGACCAGGGAGATGCTGCAATGGTCATAAAGTATGAAAAATAGTGAGAAGTCCCTTTTTTTTTTCAGTGACGTCGTAACTTCAGTTCACAAAATGAACCGTTGTAAGTCCAGTACTATCTGTAATGCCTTTTGCTTGAGCGAAGCCTGGCTAGGGAATTTTTGGCTGAGAATTGTGGTCAGCCAGCAGGTCACTTTTGCTGTTTATAACAAAATTGTGTTTTGGGAGGCTTTTTGGCGAATGTACAGAGGTAGCATTTAGCCGGTTCAGGCCGGTTCGGGAGAACCGGTAGTGGCGACCTGCAGGGGTGCAATCCCGTCCTATATCACTGTGTTTTTGACACCACATGCGTGCACGGACGGCGCATGCGAGCGAGTGAATTGCCGTGTTGTTTGACATCGCATGCATGTGTGGAAGGCACGTGAGAGTGAATTTATTTATTAATTTATTTATTTAGTCCAATTTATATGCCGCTTTTCTCTGGAGACTCAGGGCGGCTTTTGTGATGCCGCACACAATGCGCGGACACCTACACTCACATTTCCGGTGCTGGGCGAACCAGTTGCTATAGTATGTCAATCCCACTTCTGCAAACATACTTCGTGTTCGCTCAAACCACGAGATGGGCAGGGTATCCCTTTAATCAATCAATAAACTTTATCTGAATATATGACAGGGTCTTTAAACTGTGCCTCTGCTAAGAAGGGAGCGTAATATTAATTACGAGGGTGTCAGGTTTCGGTGTCGTCTCAAATAAATTGCATTTCCAAACAAATAGTCTTTGATGAAATCTTTCATTTATTAAGCACCACAATCTGTCCCTGATTATGTCCTCAACACTGACTTCCTGACCCCAAACCTTCCCTTTCCATTCCCCAATTCTCTGCGTCTCATTGGCCATCTTCCAAATCACTCTCCCCATATCTACTACTTCAGCTCCCAGGAATGTCCCCCCTCCCATCCCATCTCCTAGGGGATATTATCTTCAGGGAAAATAAGTAGGTGAAAAGTCAAGCGTCCTCTTGCCAGCTGCCCCCTCTTCTCCTCCTTATGTCAGCACTGGAACGAATGTAGTTTGGAGTGCTGACAGAGGGCTTTATTTTGGCCTGCGAAGGGAGAGCAGCTTTGATCTAATTAAGGAGACAAGAAGCTCCATTTGTTCAGACTTTGAAATGTCAGAAATCTACCTATTTTTGTGTGTGTGTTTTAAACCTAAAAATAGGTAGTCCTTATATACCTGGAGTAGCTGGTCTTAAGCGATGAGACTATTTTTTCACCCAGTCTTGGGGTTTATGATAGGGTTCACCCTAATTGTCGGAATGTTAATTGCTTTGATGAATTTAAAACCAGCTAAGTCTGGATGAATTTGCATATGGAAACATCAGTTCTAGTGCCAACCACAACTTCCTTCCCACAACATACACACACAGACACACAGACACAAAAATTGT